ATACTTTTCTTGATACTAGTCATGGCATCGAGGGTTATACGGAAAAGCTTTTGGAGCTAAATGTTCGCCAAGATCTATTTAGGACGTAATCGCGTATGTTTTTAAGGTGCCTTTTGTTTTTGATTTGTTATAGTCCAGATGTTGCTTAGAGTACAACAGGTCTGCAGGTTATTCTATCGTATTTTATTTATTCGAATTGCACGCCTATTCTTCTCTTCACCCTTTTCCCCACGAATTGGTTAACGAACACACCATATATTACCGAATATATTTCACTATTCGGTAAAACAGAAGAATGTGTTGTCTAAAGATTCGGCCGTCGAGCTAAAGATCCAACTGCAATCTCTAATTACCTTGGAATTGATCAAAAGTGTAGCTTGGCTATCTGGGATAATGTATGTTTTTTGTATTCTTCAGAGCTTATTTTTATTATTCTACACATCCTTGGATTTTGAACGACCAATTTAATATGAAATTGTCAAAGAAGTGTTCGGCTGATGAATAAATCTGGTAATTCATGTGATTTCCCTTCGAGCAAAAGTGATGTGTCAGATGGGAAATTGATTCTACCAACTTGCAAGTTCTTAATGGCTGCGGCAAGTGTTTTTTTTTTTTGAATAGAAGAGTCGAATAGTACTAGCTTACTCGAAAAACATTCTGATTTCGCTGCACCATATTTTAATTTATCACTTTTCGAATGCCTAGATTAGGAAAAAATATACACCTACATATGTAGTCAGCATACTATTCAAATTAATGTTCTGTTCACTTCTTAAATTACATAAATATTCTATTGTTCGATTTAGGCATATTTGGGTGCATATTTCTCGTAGGTAGCAATATAAGCCTTTTGTGCCTCATCCTTGGACAGACCCTTGTGTTTGTTCCATGCGTCCCACTTGGCTTTGCCTTTCAGATCCAAAGCGCCGGGCCTTTCTACATTAACATCACCAATTGTAGATTGTTTGAAGAGGCCGTAAAATTCCAAGAATTCCTCATCGGTAGGGCGCTTGCTGAAGGCTTTGGCTTTTTCGCAGGCCGCGTTGAACTGTGAATAAGGATAATGTTCAATAATTTTTTATAGCATTGTGTACAAATGTTGCCTTAAAGTTACTCACATCCATGGTGTGTAAAGAGCTCGCTCTGATCCTCTCGGTAACACCTCCAAAATGTTACTAAATTTGACTTCCGTTCATTTATCTACTTTATATGCATAATTGGTTATTTCTGAAGTATTGTACTTACTTATCAACAAAGTTTTCGATAAGCTCTTTTTTATTACTACTCGCAGGGTTTTTTATTTCTTTTGTATTAATTACTTTATAATGACGATGCAAAGTCCCAGAGTATGTATGCATGCAACCTTTGCTCATTGTCGGTTATCAGCTGAATATGTATTGCCAGCCGGTAAGTGTTTCAAACGGTGAATGCAGGTGTGGGCGAAAGTTCGAAAGCCCAAAGCTATATAACGGGTGACTAAATAATACAAAAACTTAAAAATATGCTTGGCAAATCATCTCGTTCTTCCTTTTTCCTTCTCCTTTGAGGTGCATGTCCTGATGTTTTCATACAAATGGAGGAGCCTAAAGTTTAACGCATACTTTAAATAGGGTGTGGTTTTTTTGTGACTAATATTTTCATATCATAAATACCCTCAGAGATTGCCTTTGACGGCCGTGGCTACAAATTGTTTGGTGAAATAAGATTATTATTTTTTCTTCTAATATATGTATTTGTAAGTGTATATTCTTTCAAATGCCGCTGTTTTTTTTTTGCTTTTAGTTGGACTTTCCGAACTCCTTCAGCTGGATTAAATGTTTCTACAAAAGGCTTTTATATTTTTTATAGTTATCCTACTAAAAAATACTACTGTACAGTAAGATTTTCAACTTCCAGGCGAAATCATGTTAGGGATTAAAACATGCCTTGATTAAAGTTTTCTTATAAACTTTTTCATATTACACCAATTCTGCAATTAATCAGGTTGAATAAAAACACACACCCATTTAAACTGGTAAAATAATTTATTTTCACGTTCCACGCACTATAATGAATTACAAAAGCATTTGTTATGTCCACTCAATAGTTCAATGTCATTGAACAAATTTATTTTCCCGCTCAAGCATATTTGGGCGCGTACTTCTGGTAGACAGCAATGTAGGCCGCTTTCGCGTCATCTGCCGACAGACCCTTGTGCTTGCTCCACGCATCAAATTTGGCCTTGGCCTTCAGGTCCAGAGCGCCGGGAGCTGGAATGTTCACATCGCCGACAGTAGCTTGCTTGTACAAACCGTAGAATTCCAAGAATTCGGCATCGGTTGGCTTCTTGGTGAAAGCTTTGGCTTTTTCGCTGGCAGTGTGGAACTGTTGAAAGATTTTAAATGGTTGTTAATCAATAGTTTATTTAATCCGCCAAAAACACTTACATCCATTATGTGCTGTTTAGTGTCTAAGCTCTGAACTGAATGCACAAATTAATGGAACCCTCTTTTTATATTCGAATGCCAGGAGAAATGTATGCAGTTAGCTTTTCGTTAGTACTATAACTAAATCTTATCGCGTTTACTAAGCAGTTGGCATATTTATTTATTATTGACGTGAAGTTTATGTATATTGTATATTATAAGTCTTTGATTTATGCTTAGAAATACTGAATGAAGGATTAGCTTTTAAAATCTACATTGGGTAAAATGCTTATCTATAAAGCGTAACTATATTAATACACTGATTTCCTGAGTAGTGCTGGAATAAAGTAAATATATATGCTTGATTAAAATATATGAATACTTCTCACCGTTGAATGAACTAAACTATCACTCCAGTTAATCAATACAATTTTTTGATTTGTATTAGTTTTTGTGCTTTTTTCCTGGGAAATTAATTTTGATTTTTGCTGTAATGAATTTTTTTCTGTGGGCTCGTGAAACTGAAAAAGTACTTCGTTGACTTACGGTAGACCCTACGAAAGAACTTAAATTTCGCAAAAGAATTTGTGGGGATAAGTTGTATATGCTCAACTCGATGAGTGAAAGGATATATAAATCACTTAAAAATATACCTACTTATTTGAATGCTTATGTTTGATAACAGTATCCAACACTGTTTACTCAACAAACGCTAATAATTATGAAAGAGGATGTCTCCCAGGCCAACTTTGCCGAATATAGTACTAGTCCAGAGGGTCTGAGCTCTTTTTTAAGAGGCGTTACTATTTTAACATTTTGGCCGACATTTAATTACTTACTTTATCGAAAATATTATGTATAAAACGACTAGACTTCTTCAGTAGAATTTGATGAGGAATTTTTTTTTGTAGTGGATTTTTACCATCTTACTTCCACCTTAAAGGGCATTTTTAACCCATTCTCAAAGCAGATAAAATTAAAGGACGTTAAAAAGGTACTTTGAGGTTTAAAATGTTCCACGAAAATTTGAAACAAACAATTTTACAGGGGGTTGCCGAAGATAAAAAACTTGTATAGGTTAGGATAAGTGCATAAGAAAGCTTAGGTCTCATTCCATGTAAAGAACAATACGACATAAATTTTAAAATTCCCTAATTATCTCTATTTCAGTAGCAACCTCTCTTTAAACGAAAACATTTCATTAATATGTTAAAAACATTAAAAAAAGGAATCTGTTATTCTTGTCCCTGCAAACTTTTAATTCATACATAATTACTTTACATCAACTTTAAACGTTTTTTAATATTTCTATGAGGATTTTGGAAAATTAGGTGTTTTGGTGAAAATCACCTTTGAGTGCCCAAAGGTAAAATAGAGTCCTTTTCAATATCTCACCAGTCGCATTCATTCAAGTGATAGTAAGATAGAGCTAAAAAATCCTTTGGCATGTGTTTTAAAGGAATTTTTTACATAAGATATCGTTCTATTTTGAAAAGTATCTTTCGCTGCTGTTGTATTATAATTGACAATTGACCACATTCTGGAGTATAATTTCCCTCCAGTCACAATGGAATGGCGTGTAATTTAAGATAATATTTACACATTTGGCATAGATACATTGCGAACGCCTACACTTATGAGCATTAGGGTGGATAGATTTGTATGGAAGTGAATTTTTAGACCTTCAGTACCGCTTAGGGCGTACTAAACAATTTTTATAAAATTTTGGCTATTCTTTTAGCGAGGGCAGGGCACTAAGGCACAATATTACAATAAGTTTATAGTTTCGAACCTTCTTGGAGTTTAACGATACGCCTCCATTTATTTTCATTTACAACTACGACTATCAAGAAAAATTTACGCCGGTTTGACTAGAGATTTAATTAAACAATTACATTTTTTTACCTTCTATAAATTTCCATATTAAATTAAAACAAGAAATAATAATTTTTCACTAAAATGACTTTAATGGTTTTTATTAATTAACATTCCCTCATCAACTACTTAAACTACATATAAACTTGTAATTACCTACAAATTTATAAAATATATTGATTAGATTTCCATATCATTCAGTCAGTACATATTTCATTCAGGTAGAATATCCATATCACGACTGTTATAAAAATAATTTACATTGAACGAATTTAGTGTAGAGCTGGAAAACTATCGATGGCACTATCGATAGTATCGATGGTTTGCATTTTATTGCCACTATAGACATTATCGATAGTGTCGTTTTCTGGTTATTACTATCGATAGCTGTAGCCGCCATCGATAGTTCTTATGATTATCGATAGTTTCCTCTCGTTAACCAATACTCTATCATTCTAATTTTAAAATTATTGCCGCAAAGGCTTTTTCGTTTTTTTTTTTTCATGTATGGAAGTATGTAAATAAAGCGAAAAAAGTTCATATAAAACTACAACTCTAAACGTAATTACCCATTCATAGCGAAACGATACTATCGATGGTGTATAACCTGAACTATCGAAACTATCGAGTGGGAGTACCATGGATAGTTTTCCAGCTCTAATTTGGAGGCGTATTTCTCATAGGCGGCAATGTAGACCGCCTTCGCGTCCACTTGAGATAAACCTTTATGCTTGTTCCATGCATCAAATTTGGCCTTGGCTTCAGGTCAAGAGCGCCGTGGGCTGGAAGGTTCACATCGCTTTCTTGGTGAAAGCGTTGGCTTTTTTGCAGACGGTGTTAAACTGCAGAAGATTAAAAACTTTAATTTCGAAAAAGAAAAAAATACGATTTGGTATAACTTTCATCCATGGTGTTTAAGTGGTTTTGGAATCTTCGCTCCTCTGCTATAAATAAATTGTTGCAAAGCCACTTTCTTCGGTATTTTATATGCCAATGCAAAAGCTTTTTCTATTGCGAACCTTTAACTTTTTTACAATAATTGAATTTTTATCAGAAAGCACTTGAGATTTACAATTACATATTGTAATCTATAACCGTCAAGACAACCGGTAACTTTTATGACTGTTGGATGTTCTTATGCCTTTATGAACGCTAGTATATATATATATATATGTGCGTTAGTATGTATGCACATATGTGGACTGTGTGGTAAGATAACCCAATGAACAATGTTTTAATTGATAGGCTCATATCAGCAGCGATATATTTATTTCACGCACCTGCCCACCTGGTAATCTACATATTGCTAATCTAACCATTTCTTTTCCACTTTTTACTTAAATAATTCATACATATGTATGTATATAAATTATATTATCAAGCATATATTATTATTTTACACTTATAAAAATTAAAAGCGAAACTGTTAAATCACACAGGCGTTAAAGGGTGCACCAAATCTGAACAAAAAGCCTTTATTTTATACCACGTCTTAGTATTAGAACAGGACCTAGGAATATTTTCATATTTTTGTTGAAATTGAATGTGGCGAAGGGGTTGAGGAAATCACCAAACTGTGTCAGTAGTGTGTTTTGTAATTACATATTTCTAAGTTTACTTTAAAATTGTCTACTAGCAACACTATAGGGACGCTAAAATTTCACAAAAAATGCACAAATGCGGATCTGTACACCATTTACCTAAATAGATTAGGTAATTTTTCTAAGTTATTTTCATATTAAGTAGGCATTGCGAATGAAAAAAAATCTAACTTAAAGGGCTGTCTGCAGCTCTGTGAAAACGAAAAATTCCTAAAAAAGGATGCCCAAGAAATGGTAAAGAAATTTTCGTCCATCAAGTAAAGTAACTGCAGACAGATTTTTAACATGGAATAAAAATGGAAATATCTTGGGAAAATTACTTGATCTAGAAGAACGGTTTAGACATTCGCAATCTACGACCCAATCTTAAGCTCGCGTGTTTCAGCGTTTCTTTTGTCATTTCAAAACTTGAGGGTTTTCCCTGCAGTGTTATTCTTAAGGCACAACACTACCACAACTATTTAGTACCAGGCACTAAGTTATTTTATAAGTTTTGAACTACCAACAAAATCGACCCTCACCTTTCGCTCGCTTCCTTTTTTCAGCTCGTCCAGCCTGGATCAGGACATCAAGAAGGTGGAGCCGAAAAAATCCGAAAATGAGCTACACTGGGAGGAATTGGTACGCAACATGATACGCCCACTCAATCTTTGTGATCTAGACTTCACCGATTTGAATTCGGAAGACGAGAAAGATATGCTCGCGCCGCGTGGTCTTGGCTGTGGTGTACCGCCGCCACCACCACCATTCGCTGGTGGCATACCGCCGCCCATGATGCCACCTATGAGTAGTATGGCCAGCATGGTGCCACCCCCGATGTTCAGCTACAGCGGCTACGGCAGCATGACGAACAGCGCCAACAGCTCCATGAATGGTTCCATGAATGGCGACGTCAGCAATACGAATACCATCAAGAAGAATAAGAAAACGGTTTGTACTACACGCTATACGACTATTTGACTGCTTCAGCAGCATTTTAATTCTTTATTTTTTTTTTGGTTCAGGTGAAATTATTTTGGAAGGAGGTGCGCGAGGATATGATACCCGTTGTGATTGGCAAAACCATTTGGGATGAGTTGCCGCAGGCAAATGTGGACATACAAAAGCTGGAGCATCTGTTCGAGTCCAGAGCCAAAGACCTAATGACCAAGGTGAGTGTGGACTTTTTCAATTACTTACTCCAAAGGTACGAAGTCTTGAGTAACAGCTTGCTAGGGTGAACCTTCGAAATTGATTGCGTGCAACAATTTCGCGGTTCTAGGAGATTTGGTGATTGGTAAAATTGGTATTTGTGTTTATGCTTAAGATTTTGATATGCTTAGACAACTTGCTGATCTCTGATACATTTAATATTTATGTGAATAAATCAATACAACGTTTCTTTTCTGTTTACTCTTCTATGTTTATTTATGTTGAAATGCGAATGCAAAAAAAAAAAACATAAACAAAAAAAAAATATATACAAACCAATACAATGTTATGCCACATGCTACCAACTTAACTTCCTCCTCTTCGTCTCAATGGAATTTTTATGGATATATGTCTGTATGTTGAATACAATGTGTTGAAAATTAAAA